AAACCATAGATACCCGCTATGACCGTCTGTAGCAGTGGAGCGCGATTGCAATGGTACCGTGTTACGGTGCGTCGACACGTGTCATCGCTGAAATCTAAACGCCGCCCCACAAGTGAGCCACAAACAAGGAGCCGTGTAGCTTCCCCCAGTTTCCAGTAGATAGCGGCTGGCTACCAGTAAGGAGATTTTAGCGTGTTCCTTTCGTCACTATCATCCTTAAGACTTCAGAAATTCACTATGTAAGTTAACCCACCTCCGTCCATTGGTTGATTTGCAATGCTTCAAAGCTGTACTTGAAGAAAGAGAGCGCAGATAATGGTCGCATCCACATGGGTACACTGTGGAGGTTGATGTAAAAACCACCAAAAACCAGTAGAGCTTGCATAAATGCCGACATAACAGTAATGGCTAGACCTTCATCGCCGAACACGCAACCGGACGCGTACCCTAAGCGATTGCTTCGTCAAAGAAGACAATTTGAGAAGAAAATATTGCTATACTAAATAGTGATACCAGTGAAATTGATTTGAAGCGCATACAGCCATTACTACTGCAGTCTGTGGTGCGATGTTTGCGAAGGTGGCTTTTAGCGAAGCGCCAGCCCATTCTCCACCGATCGTCATCGCTTCGGTCTTTTCGATGATTGTGGGAAAAGAGTTGGCGCCGCATCAAAACCCATCCTCTGCTGATACCGTAGAGACTGACTGTGACTGTATGAGTTGTTGAAGCGAGGTTCTAAAGGAGTTGTGCTCAGAATTGTACCTTGGGCGAAGTCGGCTTGGTGGGGGGGGGTTGCCTTTGCTGACACCGTCAGTTACTGAATCAGCTACTTTGCAGATGCTGACCATTCACTTCATATTACTGAAATTCTGGGCCTGTTCGTCTGGGAGGGACATTTCGCACTTCTGCTAGTTCTTTCGATAGTCCTCTGATGAATTACACGACATGCTTTGGCGGGATCGTCACACACTCATCAAATGTAAGCGAAGCTCATGCTACTTCACAGCTTTACATGTAGTCAGGGGTCTCTTTAGGAGAAGTGGTAGTGATCGATGGGAAGCAGCAAATGCCCCCACCAAGTCGAACTGCCCCAAACTCTTTTACTAGGATATGTAGTTTTAGGTTCACTTTCACCAATACCAGTAGTCTTTGTAGACAAACCAAATTGTTTGAATGCCTTACCGATTGAAATGGCATTCAATGACTGGCACACGTTAACAAAGGTGAAGATCAAAAACTGGCGTGCTGTTTCCGAAAGACCTGC